GTCGAGTCCGTTCACCTGAAAGAAAGAGCCGTCCGTGTCCCCTCCCTCGAGAGAGAACGCGAATAACCGCCAACAAGGACTAGTCCCGATCTCGTTCTTCATTCTCTCCGGTTCAGTGCTCGCGAACCGTTATCGAATTCATTCCGAACAGGTCGAAACGCTCGGTCTCTCGATCGAGTGACACCTGTAACGAGACGAAACGAAACGAAACGAAACGAAACGAAACGAAGGTCGGACTGGTTGACAACGTTGGAAAAGCAAGGAGTTTCCAACGAGGGCCAGAAAATAAAGAAAAAGAGAAAGATAAAGAGAGAGAGAGAGAGAGAGAGAGAGAGGGTAGAAGCGCCGCTGCAGTCTCGGCCGCTTCTCCGCGTTCGCGATTCTTCTTTCTCTTAGGTCAACGATCTGTCGGTAGGATCCTCGCGGTTGTTGCGTCGCGAACGCGTGCCTACTACCACCTGTGTGCACGCGTTCGGACACAAAGAGCTGTCCGAATACAGGCTGGTTTACAGGTAATAATTCGGTTGGGGTCGGGTACGCGCGCGCGTTTCACGAGGAGTGAAAAGGCGGTCACTCGGTACGCCGTGGCTGCTTTCACCGGCCACGGAATAATGCCGATCGGGCGTTAACGGTACGCGCGTGCGGTTCGTTCACTGTGCCTGCTTCAGCAACTTCGTGTCGCAGTTGTTTCGTGTTGGTAGTCTGCGCGGGGGGAGGGAAACGATGGCCGATCTCGGATGAGATCGGTCTGTCGGGTGTGCGCAGTGTTCTCGCGAGTTGGTAGTATCGGTGTTCGGCGAGCGTGTCGATTCTCAGGCGGCCGCTGAGTAGCATGGAAAGCAAGATGTACATCAGCAACGAGCCGCAGAACAACGGCCACTCGGCGAAGTACGCCTCGACCAACTCGATTCCCTCGATGATGGAGAAGGAGTCGTCGTTCGCGAAGCTGATCGGCGCTGTCGGCCGCAGGGACTCGAACGTGGTGTTGAGGGACAACAAGGGAAGACGGCACAGCGTGCTGGAGGATCTGAAGGCACGACGGGACAGCCTGTTTCAGCGAGCGCGACGAGGCAGCGTCGCCGAGGAGAAGGAGAACGCGAACGCGAAGCAAGAGCGCAAGGAGAAGAGGCGGGCGAGCGAGTGCGTGAACAGGAGGTCCTCGGTGTTCTACGTGTCGCAGGATCTGCTCGAGGAGAACCAGGAGCTGCTGGAGAACGAGAGGATACAGCAGGCGGACAACGAGGCGAAGAAAGGACGCAGAAAGTCGTGGCACATCCTGGCAAAGCCGCCAAAACTCGATCGCAAGAGGAGAAAGGGGATCGCCGGTGTGCCGAGCCAGGCCGGAAGTACCGACGGGCTTCACACGCACGCCAGACAGAAGAGGCCGTCCTGGTGGAATATATTTGTGCCTGACTCCGTTGCCAGGTATTTATTACAACGCGTTCCCCCCCCCCCCACGTATTCCGTTTATACCGTCTTCCTTTGACATACTCGCGAAATGGACACAGGATATTTCTAAATTTCTTCATATGTATGATATGTGAGGTATTGTGTGTATAAATTTCATTAAAATCAAGCAACATGCGTCCGAAGTGGAATGATTTTGTTAGAACTAGTACAAAATCATTGGTCATGAAAGCTTCCACGATGGTTGCATCAATATTCCAACTAGTACTATTACTTACTGTTAGTTATTATTATACTAATATATATTAATATATAACTAATAGTATTATGACCAGTTTGTTGTCACGAAAGTATTCACTCATGGTTGCACTAATTTGTATTTTTGGAATTTTCAGTAGAAAGTCGACCGCTTTTGTCACTTCGCGAAGATGATTTTTCGCGAGAAATACTAATCTTGAAGTGATATTTACATCAGTGGATTG